GTTGGGAGTTTCTATTTGCTCATCTTCCTCCAGCCAAAGGGAGCAGCTTGCTGATTCCACCCCGCCAACTACTCTTCGCCTTCCCCCACCTCTGGTTTTGATTTCCTCCTGGCCCCCAGCAGTTTGGGGAGGAGTGGGGGATGGGAAGCGGGCTCATTGTGTCTGCCCCCTGCTGCCCAGAAACCAGAGCTGATTCAGCAGAACCCCGCCTCTCGTGTGCACCCTGCTCCTGAGTGCAGCCAAAGCTCCGGGTCTGAAAGCCCATGAGCGGTAGGCAGCAGCCCGGGGAGGCAGATGAGAATCTCCCCCTTGGTGGAGCCACACGGGAGCTGAGCTGGGAGCCTCCTCCCTTGGGCGGAGCAGGTAGGAGCTGTGCTGAGCTGGCCTTGGCTAGAAATCACCTTTCCGTGGCTGAGCTAGTAGACGTGCCAGGTTGGTCTCACCTGGAGGCCATCTCCGCTGTCCAAGCCGGTAGGGTACGTTAGGGCTCTGCACGTGCTACTTTGCTTACTGTGATGTAGCTGTGAGCACGGGGCCGTTGACCATCCTGTGTCCTTCCCTTCCAGGAAGTGTTTGACCGCCTGCACATGATGTACACCATCGGCTACTCCATCTCCCTGGTCTCCCTCATTGTTGCCGTCTGCATCCTCTGCTACTTCAAGTAAGCAGGAGCAATCAACCACTTCCCTTTCATCCTCTAGCCCCTGCACTCACCCAGTGTTCCAGGAGAGCCCCACACAGAGTCACCAGCCACCGGGGATGGGCAACCAGATTAGATCAAAGAAAGCCCAACCCAAACGGTGGCTCAAGTCTCAGGCCAAACCACAGACCATTTCCTAAAGACCAGAACTATCCGGCGCCATTTTATTCTGCATTTCTCACAGAGCTGGGCCAGGCGGCCAGAGCCAAACAGGCCTACGTTCTGGGGGCTTGACATGCAAAGCTCAATCCAGATCCAGCTTTTATAAATGGGGCCTATATTTATAATGGGCCAGCCCCAAAACCTTGGTTCTGACCCCTCTCCATGTCCCCGAATGCACTGAGCCTCACGGCTCCTGGTTCAGTCCCTCCGCTGCTTCGTGAGGTGCTCGGATGACAGGCAGGTGTTTGTAACTGAGGCATGGCCGACTGGGCGGGTGTTTGTCACTGATCCACCCTCTCCTGGGGGCAGGCGTCTGCACTGCACCCGGAACTACATCCACATTCACCTCTTCGCCTCCTTCATCTGCCGGGCCGCCAGCATCTTCGTGAAGGATGTGGTGCTTTACTCCGGCTCGCTGCCCGAGGAGCTGGAGAAGATGCGAGTGGATGATTTAAAGGGCGAGTTGGGCCCCTTTCTGGGACACCGCACCCAGCTGGCAAGTAGTTGAAAGACTCATCTTCCCTCTTAATTTACCCCAAGCACCCAAGGAATAAAGGAGAGGGAAAGGGGAGTTAGGACTCCTGGTGCAGTGAGGAGAGATTGGGGGAGGCCTGAGTCTGGGCTGCACCTCGTGGAGGAAAGTGTAGGACAGGAAGAGGGTGGGGAGAAGGGGCTTTAAGCTACTTTTGAGCTGTCCAGATTCTGCCTGTGCAGCCCCCACTATAAATTAGAGCAGCCTCTGGGGTCGCTCTAATTTATGGCAGCTTTACCTGGGCTGTGTCATTTTGGGCTCTTGGAGGGACAATATAGGATCACCTGCTACTGTCCTGCACTTTGCGTGAGTCTGAGGGAATTTCTCCCCCGCCTGCTGCAGTGCCTTGGCCGCCCCCGTACGCCACTGAAGCAGTGTCTGTACAGGGGCTGGGGTTGCGGGGGGACAATCTCTCCCAGGGAGGCAGAGAGATGCAGCGGTGTCTATTATTTCGCAAGAGAGGAGTGTGGAGGATTGCAGCTCCCGCTTGAATTAATGAGCAAGGAGAGGGCAGACCAGCACAGCTGCCCGCTGTCCTTCACAGTAGCGCTCAGCACAGCTCAGGGAAGCCAATGCCCTCTTAGTGGGTGGGAACTTCCCCCATTCCTACCCCGACAACTTCCTCCCTACACTGTCTCATGCAGAAGGGTCAGAGGTCAAAGCCAGAGTAACCGCTGCCAGGCAGGACCTAAACAAGAGTAGCGAGGGGGCCTCCCTGTCTAGGATCATGGCCCTGATCTCTCAGGCATGTAGAGGTATTGAGACCCTAATGTGGTTCCCATTTCTCCATGACCACAGGTGGGCTGCAAGGTGGTTGTGACCCTTTTCCTTTATTTCCTGGCCACCAACCACTACTGGATTCTGGTGGAGGGGCTCTACCTGCACAGCTTGATCTTCATGGCCTTCCTCTCCAACAAGAACTACCTGTGGGCCCTCACCATCATCGGCTGGGGTAAGCACAGACACCACTCCCACCAAAAGTGCATCCGCCTGCCAGGCTGACTGGGAGCTGCGGCGCATCAAAGCGCACTATGACATTTGTAGTGCATGGTAGCAGGGTCCATATGGCTAGTTAGTGCACTGCAAGAGAGTACTTTGTGGAGTCGCACCCCGGTTTGACACACATTAAATCTCTGTGTAGACAAGCCGTAAAGGAGAATCTATTCTAAGCAGTACAGAGCATATGTCACGCAGATCAGAAGTTCTGATTCCAGCTAGGAGAGGGCACCTAAATTCCTGGCATTGGTTCATTTTGCTAACCTGATGCTTCAACCATACTGCCTGTTCTGTTTCCCTCCAGGTCTCCCTGCTGTATTTGTGTCTGTTTGGGCCAGTGTCAGGGCCTCTCTGGCGGATACACAGTACGTAGGTTCAACTTCTTTTCCAAAGGACCATTTATTTGGGAGGGTGAGAACTGGCCTGTAGTGCAAATCTCTCTGTGTGATCCTATTGAATTGGGTGGTTGCAATCTGCAGATGACCAAATCACTGAATTGCTAGACTGAGGCTTTTATGGAGGAGAGGGAGATTAGAACATATACATATCAGAAGGTTAAAAATGCAGGCAATTGATAAGGGAAGCTAAAGGTATCAACAAAAAAATCTATGACCAACAGGGTTATGGAGAATAAAAAGGAATATTTTAAACATGTCAGGAACAAAAGGAATCTGAACAAAATTAGGATAAAATTTTAAGTAATGATGTAGAAAAGGCAGGTGTTCAATAAATATTTTTGGTTTGTATTTAGAATAAAACTAGATGATGTTTTCATATCATATAAGGATGATTAAATACAGTAAGGAGGATGTTAAAAGGTATCCACTAAAATAAAACTTTTTAAAGTAACCAGATCTAGATAACTTGTACCTAAGAGTTTTAAAAATAAAGAGTTGGCCAAGATGTTCTAAGGAAGTCTGACGTTAATTTTTAAACTACTTATAAAAAAACTGAGAAAACTCCAGATGTCTGGAAGAAATTGTGCCAAAATTTACAGAAGGTAAATATAGGGCGGTTTGTCTGACATTGACCGTGGGCAGAATACTGGAACAAGTGATAAGCGAATCGGTTACTAAAGAATTAAAGCTAATCAGCATGATTTTGTGGATTAGGCCTTGTCAAAGAAACAAGCTGAGATTACAAGTTTGATTGATAAAGGTATCTGTTGGTGTAATATTCTTCTGTAAGGTATTTGACGATGTACAGCCCAACATTCTGATAAAAAAAGAGTACTATACAAAGTCAATATGGCCCATATTCAATGTACTAGATTCACACCAGAATTGTTAATGGAAAATCATCAATGAGGGTGAGTGTTTCTGGTGGGGTCCCACAAGGATTGGTTCTGGGCCCAATGCCATTGATTAATTTTATTAATGATTTGCTAGAAAATATAACATAATTGCTGATAGAGTTTGCAGATGACAGATGGGTGAGGGGGTAAATAATGAAGACAGGTCACTGATACAAAGCAGTCTTATTATGAAAAAGCCCACTCCTCGTTCCTGTGGCATGCAGAGCAGAGCTCTGCCATGGAGAGATCTGACCCAGGATCTGGATTTTGTTGACTTTTTTTAAAGTAACAAACGTGACTCTCATTAGTTATGTTTTGGGGAGCAAACGTATGTGGCAGAATCACCCCAGCTGTAGGATCAGCCTTCCTCCCGCCCAGGCTCGGTCCAAGATGGAAAGGGGGGAGCCATCAACGGGCTATTTTCCTCACCCCTTATTTCAGGTTTCTCCAAAGCATTTCTTACTGGTCTCCTCAGATGCTGGGACCTCAGCGCTGGGAATATGAAGTGGATTTATCAAGTCCCTATCTTAGCAGCCATTGTGGTAAGAATTCTCCGGCAGACTTGTCCCAGTCACCTAAAAAACCCAGCTGGATTCAGTAGATATAGAAATGGGCTAATCTCCTCTCTCCAATCCATGCATCGTTTGCCATCGTATCTAGGCAATGTCTGCTTTGTCATCTCTTAGGCCTGGTCTACACTGGGGGCGGGGGAGGAAGGGATCGATCTAAGATAAGCAACTTCAGCTACGAGAATAGCGTAGCTGAAGTCGATGTATCTTAGATCGACTTAGATTGACTTACTTCACGTCCTTGCGGCGCGGGATCGATGGCCGCCATTCCTCCGTCGACTCCGCTTCTGCCTCTCGCCCTGGTGGAGTTCCGGAGTCGATGGGGAGTGTGTTCGGGGATCGATTTATCGCGTCTAGACGAGATGCGATACATCGATCCCCGATAGATCGATCATTACCCGCCGATCCGGATAAGACATACGCTTACAGGGCTCAGTCCTGAGAGATGCTGATCCCTGGGGCCTGATTCAACAAAGCCCGTAGGGCCAGATTTACAAAGGTTCATAGGAGCTTAACTGCCACTGAAATCAATGGGAGTTGAGCATCTAAGCACCATTGAGGATCAGTCTAAATATAAATCTAAAGATACAGATAGGCACCTAACTTGCTTGGGGACTTTTGTACACCCCCACCCCTCCCTTAGCACTTATCTGCATCCTTCAGCGCCTAGAGACCTTTCTAAACCTGGCCCTTAATCACACGCTTGCTGAAGCACATCGCCCCTAGCAGGACTGAGCCCATGTTCTCCGTTTAACGGGCAGTTGTCCCACTCTCTCGTGGTTAGAAGTGGTGCATGTTGCAGGTTTACTTACCCTGAGAAAATTCTTATCGCTGTTTCATTTATATTTGAAAGAGGTGCCGTTTAGGGCTCTGAGCCACACACGGAGGCTTCGTAACCAGAAGCTTTCACAGACGTGGCCACTTCAGGGTTCACCATCCCAGCTGTGTGACGAACAAGACTATCGAACGAGGATCATTTTCAATCCTAATAACGAGGAGGGTTATTAGCCACCCAGACACGGAGTTTATGTCCAAGAACATTGTGGCCTGATCCTTTGTTGCCCCAGTGTGTGTACAGTCACTTACATTGGTGCAAAGGGAGTGCCAGACACCACCACTGCGATTTGGTAGCATTCCCATTGCACTGGTGTAAGTGCAGGATTTGAGCCTTCAGTCTAAATATACATCTAAAGATGAGAATCAGGCCCTTCCTTTCATCTTGACAGTGAATAGAAGAACCTCCCTGAGGACATTTATATGCAGTCCGTAGCTCAAGGAGATCACTTAGGCTGTGTCTACACAGGGAACTTATTCTGGAATAAGAGAGGGTGTGAATTCAAAGCACTATAGCTGTTCTGGAATATGTGGACACACATGTGGACACACAGTTGGCAACAGCTGCAATAGTTACGCTGGTCACTTTCCTGCCCGGACGAGCCCTTCGCTGGCCACATTCTGCGTGTGTGGCTCGTAAGGTGATTGTGGGTGTGTGTCGGCAGGTGAATTTCTTCCTCTTCCTCAACATCGTGCGGGTTCTGGCGTCGAAGCTCTGGGAGACAAACACGGGGAAGCTAGACCCTCGGCAGCAGTACAGGTGAGTGGCCATGTGCCGCTGCCAATGGACTAACAGAGGTGAACCTTCTGCTTTAGCGTAAATAGCATCTCGGCCCAGAATATGGTGCAGGCAGGAGAGGAAATAGTACTAATAGTTGGCTCTTAACATAGCACGGCCCGTGCCTGGATCTTAAAGTGCGTTAAAAAGGAAGTCAGGATCTCGGTTCCTCATTCTACAGAAGGGCATTGACTTGGCCACGGTCACCCTGCTGGCAAACGGCAGAGGCAAGAACAGAACCTCAGTCTCGCACACTGTGTCCTATCCACTGCCAGGTAGCATCCGGCCTCCAGCACTGGCCAATAGATGAGGCCTCAGGAAGGGGGGGGGGACGGAAATGCCCACTCAGCCACCCGAGCAATACATTTTTATTCAGGGCAAAGGGAGGCGTGACTCTTTCCCAGCCCCCACAGCCCATCTGCTTTCCCCTGCAGAACGAGGTGCTTTGTAACTTTTTGCTGTCGCAAATATCACACCCCTGAGATCAATGCAGCCAAAGGCTTTTTATTTCGCTACATATAGCGCCACTTAGGGTTTGGGTCAGGTGCACCACGGAAGTGCAGCCGTCTTGCCTTGGACTGGAAACTCAGCCCCGCTCCCGAGATAAGTACGCAATGGGCGATGGCAAGGAAAACCCAGTGGTGCTAGTGCTCTCTGACCCAGTGCATCAGCTGCTGGGGGGCACTGTGCCATAATGAACACGCATGGGTGTTAAATAACCCAGAGCCCTCTTTGTGAGATTAGGGGCAGCCTCAGCATCCTAGTCTTTTTTTCCCCCTAATCCCACCTCCCTGCAGTTTCATCTGGAGACAGGGTTCATTTCCTTTCTTGACCTAACCTGTCGTCTGTTGCTGCTGCGTGTTGTCAATCAGCTGCCACGTTCCGCCTGAGAGGTGGCTGCCTTGCAGTGGCAGGTGAAGTACTTGCCAAGAGGATTTGGGGAGGAAAAATGCTATAAGAAATGTAAGGTTGTTACTATTTTAGCCAGGATATTGTAGGATAAATCCTAGGCGGTGGCTGAAAAGCTGAGGCGAGAGGGTTAGAGAGAGAGGCCGCAGACAAAGCTGGGGAATGGTTTTACCTTTCAGGAAGCTGCTGAAGTCCACCCTGGTGCTGATGCCTCTCTTTGGGGTCCATTACGTGGTGTTCATGGCAATGCCCTATACTGAAGTCTCCGGCGTCTTATGGCAAATACAGATGCACTACGAGATGCTGTTCAACTCCTCCCAGGTACGTCTGCCTGGGACTGCAGATCCTGTACAGCTCTCCTGCTCTCACCCAGCTCTCCGCATGGTCCAGCGCTGGCTCCAAAGGCAGACAGATTGCCAAGCGCCTCACAGGGCAGATCGAGGTAGCACTAGGTAGGCGCGTTCTGAGGGGCCCTGCAAGGCGCCTTCGCTTCCCATGTACTCAGGGCTTAAGGGCACCTTGGAAAGCCCCCCTCAGTGCCCTGCTGTGGCTCCCAAGCTGTTCAGTGCTTCTCCTGGAGCCTGTGATAGGAGCATCACAGGGCGCCTCCCTGGGGCGCAACACAGCCCTGCAGGTGCACTGCCCTCAGCTCCCTCTTCTAGCACCTGTAAGAGCTCCGCCCAATTCCCCCTTTATGGGTCTCTTTTATTAAGTCTCTTACAGTGTATTAATGAAACTGTTCCTTAACCCCCCGAATCCAACCCTTGTTCTCCCCTGGATTGAGGGGTCCCACAGCCCTCCTCCTAGGGACCGTGCTGATAACTCAGGCTGGCTGCAGCCCTCATTCACCATCTCCAACCTAGCTCCTTGGAAGTCCAGCCATTTGCCCTGGACTGGGAGAAGCAGACATCTCCCTTCTTTCTTTACATCTCTGGAGGCTTCCTTTTATCTCCAGCCCTGGACTGAGTGAAGCACATGACCTGCCCCTCGTGCGGCTGCATTAATTTTCCCCACCTGGGCAGGAGGCCTGACTGAGTCACAGGTGGGGGTGGCGCCGTTACCCCTTAAAGGGCCAGTCACCCTGTGACAGAGCTCCCCTCTGGGACGTGCACCAGTCTGGCTGCAGCTGCCCTGCATAGACGATGCTTGTGGAAGGGCTGGTCTGCTAAACAAGCTGGGACCAGTGCACAGAGTGGGGAGAAAGCTGGGGGGGGGCGATTGGGGCAGTTGTCCCAGTGCACTGGCCACAGACGTGCATAAAACAAATAGAAATGGGGGCCAAGGTGCCTGGAGCCCTGAGCTCTCTGGACCTGCCAGGGAGTGAGGGGCACTGGGCACATGCTGGGAGCTTGTTTCCAGCACCCCCAGGTGAAATCTGTCTCTTTCTCGGTCTCTCGGCAGGGTTTCTTTGTGGCTTTTATCTATTGCTTTTGCAACGGGGAGGTAAGTGAGATGGGCTCAGCCCTGCAGCGGGTTCCTGGCTCTGGTAGGTACATGGTGCCTTTCCCATCCCGTCATCTTAGGGGGGAGCTCAGCCTGGGCCGTGGGAAGCGCAGATCAGAGCTACTATCCTAAGCCCAAGGGGACCCATGGGATTTCTCCCTCTGGGGCTGTTGGGGGGGTGGGGGAGCTCATTTTCCCTCTGACCTTGTGGAACCCCTGCCCTTGGAACAGATTGTGAAGTAACCTTTGACCCTTAAGTAACTCGGCACAGTCCTCATGGAGCAGGAGGGAAACTGCCCTCGACTTGCACTGACCTGCAGAGCATCAGGACGTACTGGGGCAAGTGTGTATTTCACTCTAACTTGGCCCTCATTGGCCCCCTTGCTGATAGTCTCAGGCTAAGGACTGTAGGGCTCTGGAGGCGGAGTTCCCCCCTCTAGCCCTGTAGGAGATCAAGCAGGAACAGAGGTGAGTCAAGTTAGCCAGGCAGCCTAAAGCCCGTGTTTGCTGCCACTGCCCATACGATGCCTGGTCTGTGGGAGAAGAGGTCTAGTCCCCTGGCCTATTAACTGGGGGCCATCCAGCTGCATGCAATTCACTCAGTGTGAACGGAAACACCAGACTGGCTGCCTGGCTGGAGAACACTCCTGAGTTCACACTGGCCCCAAACCTGTGCCCATGGCCATCGATGGGAGTGAGACTGGACCCACACTGAGCTCTCTGGAGCCGAGTGCCTGCTTTGATCCGCAGCCAATGGGTGATGAAGGCCATCGGCTCCTCCTTGGAGGTGCTCAGCTCCTTGCAGTGTTCTCTCGGGCGCTGTGGTGCTGATGTTCGCTTGCCCAGTGATCCCTAAAGCTAAGCCGCGATGGCACCCAGCGTGGGATGCAGGCCTGAACGCTGCGCTGCCTGGTCACCAGCGTGGGAGGGAGATCCCCTGAGTAACCCCCTCCCTCAGTGTAGTATGGAAGGGATGGATGGAGCAGAGACTGAGGAGATGGGTGGGGCTGCAGGGACATGACCCCTTCTCCACACCACACCCCACCGGGAGCCCCTGGAATCTTATTGCCATCTCTGTACTCGGGCCGGGGGTATTGTGAGGTGTGTGCCAAGAGACCTGGTGGCTGGCAATGCCTGCGCCGTTGTCTCGTTCCGCTGCCCTGCCCTGATAGGCCGGCTCTCTCCCTCAGGTGCAGGCGGAGATTAAGAAAGCCCGTTTCCGGAGGAGCCTGGCGCTGGACTTCAAGCAGAAAACACGCGTCACCAGCACGGGGGGGAGCTGCTATTATGGTGGGCTGGTGTCACACACCACCAACAGCGTCAGCATGAGCATCGCCGGACGGGGGCCGGCAGGGGCAGGGATGCAGCAGAGCGCCAAGCACCGGGTCCTGCCGCTGTCCCCACACACCAGCCTGCTGGGATATATCCCGAGCTCCTCTGCTTCCGACAACTCTGTGCCCTCCCCAACCCAAGAGATTCCCCAGAAGGCCCCTGGGGAGAACGCCAAGGACTTTGTGTTTTTCCCAGACCTGGGTCAAAGTCATTCCAGCCTGAGCAAAGAGGTGGAGACCATGCTATGAAGAGAGCAAGCATGTCTCCAACCAGACCCCCCCAGACGGGTCTGGAAAGGGTTTGTAGTGTCATGTGGCTGCCAAAAGGATGACTGTAGTTTTGGGCTGGCTATGAACAGGCATTATGCCAAGCAGAATGGTTGCGATGGTCCCTCTGTCTGCAGCTCTGTTGTGACTGAACCTGGAATAAAAGGTTCAGTGCTAGGCAACATGCAACCACATAAAAATGTGGGTAAATTGGATGGTCAAAGAAGAGCAAGAGAAATGCTCAAAGGACTGGCAGATGAGAAGAGATGTGAAGAGCTCAAATTGGACAGCTCAGCTAAGAGGAACGTGGGGATGGGAATCTGCTGGATTGGGGCCATAGGGCCTAGAGAGGTAGTCCTCTTCTGCACCGTACTTCTAACTTTAGGCACAAGCACGCCCCTTGAAATCTGCTGAACTACTGTGATTTTAAAGGGAAGCATGTGTTTTAAATGCTTTGCTGGATCAGGGCCTTTCAGAGCAAATGAGTAAAGGTTGGTCATTCCCCACCTGCCTCTGGAGATTTCCATTACTTGAATCTGAAGAAGTGAGGTTCTTACCCCTGAAAGCTTATGCTCCCAATACTAATGTTAGTCTTAAAGGTGCCACAGGACCCTCTGTTGCTTTCTACAGATTCAGACTAACACGGCTACCCCTCTGATACTTGATTCGCCACCATGTTGGTTTTCAGAGGAATGATTGACAGGGTGGAGGGTAATCCCAGAACATTTGGTAGCTAAATTCCACCCTACAAAACTCAAAGCGAGGGGGCAGCAGGCTGTCAGCTCAAGCCCACAAACAAGGGCAGTCAGACAGGTCCGTCTGGTGGAATGGATGTGGCTTGGACCATCGTGCAGGCCAACTAGCTGGGCCCTGTTTTGCTGCAAACTGGAGGGTGCTTGGGGGAGGTTTGTCAGCCGACCCAAGTGAGCAGGGGGTTATGCTGAACGGTGACCCTCCCTCCCCCAACTAACATGCTAGTAATGGCGAGTGCTGTGGGCGCTGCTCTGGGGATGGAAGCTCACCGACATTCTCAGCCAGCAGCTTTTATTAAAATCAGGCACAAAATAGTGACTCCTTGGGTGCTTTCTATTATGAAGAGGCAGTGTGGTCTAGTGGGTAGGGCACTGCACTGGGAGTCAAGAGATGTGGTTATGTTCACATCTCTGCCACCAGCTTGCTGCTGGGTGATCCTGAGCAAGTCGCTCCCTCTCCCCCGTGTCTTTTCCCCTCTCTGTCTGTCTAGTCTACTTAGACTGCAAAATCGCAGGGGCAGGAATCTCTGTGTTTCTACTGTGCCTAGCACAGTGGGGTCCTGATCACCAACATATAAATACAAAACTGACCCTGGCCCTCTTCTAATGCCGATAACTGCCCCCTGCCTTGCTAAATGACACTTGCTGATTCAATTGGACATAGGAATGTTCTTTCCTTGCTGTGTACGTGGTCAGCGTTCTAGCGTACGGGTGGTGACACCTCGGTAGCAATTCCTTACCTGTCTCCCAAGTGATGAAGGGAGGGTCAATTAATGACAGCAACTGCACAAAGTGCTTCGAGATGCTTTGATGAGAGGGGGTCTGTTTTGCTCTTGCTGCACAAGAGGAATAATGGGGCCTATTTTCATGAGTACTAAGCAACCACAATGACAGTTAAGTGGTCAAAGTATACTCAGTATCTCTGAAAATCAGGCACATGCGTATCGCCTTCCCTAGGAGGTTCTCATTGCTATACAAATAGCAGCAGCACCTTCACATCACATCTAGGAGGTAGAAGGGTTTATCCCCATTTTACAGATAGGGAAACTGAGGCACAGTGAGGGGAAGTGACTTGCCTGATGTCACAGAGGCAGAAATAGAATCCCAGCACCCCGATTTAGACACTGGACCACGCTCCCAGCAAGTGTTTTCTTCTAACCTGGCTCATGCTCCCACTCCCCTGGAAAAAAGTTCCTAGAGCAACTCCAGCAGGGCCTCCTGTCTTACAGGCACATTCTTTTCTTGACTGTCCAACACACAACGCACTAAACACACTGACACTTTGTTCTCTGGAGAAGGCACCAGCCCTTTTGTGGATCTAACACAAGCCTGCGAGCTGACTTTTATAGTTCCCTGGCACGGCTCGGTATTTGCTCATTGAAATCTGAGAGGTCTCTGGTAGCCTAGAGACCACAGTGAGGAATTTCAATAGTGGTATCAAAAAGGTAAAGGGGCAGGATGAAAAAGGAGAGCAACAGAAGATCCACGGCTTGATCCTGCAACCACAAGCTGAGCCCCAAGAAGGGAGGGTAACAGAGCGGGGGGATGCAAATGGAAACTTCCTAGCACTGAGCTGCCATGGTTTGTACAATACTCCGAAGATGCAGAGTGTGAGGAGGCACTGAGTAGCATTAGGGAATGCAAATCATGGCAAGAGCTCCTGCACTCCAGCCATCGCGCCCATGCACCCCTGGAGTGCCAGATCTCATTCTCCATACTGAACCTTTGTCATGCCCATTTCCTCCAGGCAGCGGGAACCTGGCCGAGTGCAGCCGGAGCCAATACAAAGGTTTGTGCTTAGACTCATGGTGTGTAGACTTCAAGGCTTCCATTTAAGTGGTCTGGGAGGCTGCCCCGCTGGTGGTGCTCCCTTTTAACCAGAACCATCAGTTCCTAGGCAGAGCCCCAAAGAGGGGCTCAGGTCAGTCTTTCGGCTCAGTCTGATCTGCTCTCTTTTGGTTGGCAGCTCTGAGGAAAGCTTTGCGAACTCCGCTTGTCTTGATGAAAGAGAACAGTGGTTAGATAACATCTCATCAGAAACTATTCTGAAGGCCAGGCCAGACTAAGATACTAAGGTGCCTAGGTAATAAGATAGGTGTCTTAGCTTAAACTGTCTACAAGCCAGAGCAGGGAAGTGGGGGTTAGGATGCTGGGGTTCTGCTCCCAGCTGACTTGATGTATGACTTGGGCAAGTCAAAGCCACTCTGTGCCTTAGTTTCCCCAGCTGTAAAATGGAGACAAGGCCTATCCTAGCTCACGGGCTTTGAATCTTAATGTTTGTAAGGTGATTAGCACCTTCCATCAGAATGTTACAGGAGAAACAAAAAAATTCCTCTCACCCTTTACTAAAACCCAGTGGACTTTTGGGGAAGAAGGGGGAATATATGAATAGCCATACTGGGTCAGACCAAGGGCCCATTTAGCTCAGCATCTGGTCACCCACAGTGGCCAATGCTAGATGCTTCAGAAGGAATGAATAGAACAGAGCAATTTCAAGTGATCCATCCCCGTCATCTAGTCCCAACTTCTGGCTATGGAAGATCTAGGGCACCCGGAGCATTGGGTTGCATCCCTGACCATCTTAGTGAATAGCCACAGATGAATTTATCCTCCATGAACTTATCTAATTCTTTTTTGGTCCTCACAACATCCCCTGGCAATGAGTTCCACAGGTTGAGTGTGTATTGTGTGAAGTACTTCCTTATGCTTATTTAAAACCTGCTGCCAATTAATTTAATCAGGTGACACCTAGTTCTCAGGATACCTGAAGGGGTAACACTTCCCTATTCACTTTCTCCATACCATTATTGATTTTATAGACCTCTATCACATCCCCTCTTAAATGTCTCTTTTCTAAGCCGAACAGCCTGTCTTTTTAATCTCTCCTGGTATGTTCCATCCTTCTAATGATTTTTGTTGCCCTTCTCTGCATCTTTTCCAATTCTAATATATTTTTTGGGGGGGAATCAGAACAGAACGCAGTATTCAAGGTGTAGGCATACCATGGATTTATGTAGCAGCATTAGGATATTTTCTGTTTGATCATCTATCCCTCTCCTAATAGGTCCTCACACTGTTCGCTTTTTTAACTGCTGCTGCACACTGAGTGGATGTTTTCAGAGAACTATCCATGACTACTCCAAGTTCTGTTTCTTGAGCAGTAACAGCTAATTTAGACCCCATTATTTTGTATGTATAGTTGGGATTATTTTTTTTCCAATGTGCATTACTTTGCCCTTATCCACATGGACTTTCATCTACCATTTTGTTTCCCCATCACCAGTTTTGAGATCCCTTTGAAACTCTTCGCCTTCAGCTTTGGACTGAACTATTTTGAATCGTTTTGTGTTTGCAAATTTTACCACCTCACTGCTCACCCCCTTTTCCAGGTAATTTATGAATAGGTTGAACAGCACAGATCCCAGTACCGATCCTTGGGGGACCCCACTATTTAACTCTCTCCATTGTGAAAACTGACCATTTATTCCTACCCTCTGCTTCCTATCTTTTAACCAGTTCCTGATCCATGAAAGGACCTTCCCTCTTATTCCATGACTGCTTAGTTTGCCTACGAGTCTTTCGTGAGGGACCTGGTCAAAGGTTTCTGAAAGTCCAAGTACACTGTATGAGCTGGATCACCCTTTTTCACATGCTTGTTGATTCCCTCAAAGAATTCTAGTAGATTGGTGAGGCATGATTTCCCTTTACAAAAGCCATCTTGACTCTCCCAACATACTGTGTTTATCTATGTGTCTGATAATTTTGTTCTTTACTATAGTTTCAACCAATTTGCCTGGTACTGAAGTTAGGCTTATTGGCCTGTAGTTGCCAGGATTGCCGCTAAAGCCTGGTTTAAAAATAGCCATTACATTAGCTATGCTCCTGTCACTTGGTACAGAGGCTGATTTAAGCGATAGGTTACATACCACAGTTAGTAGTTCTGCAATTTCATATCTGAGTTCCTTCAGGACTCTTTGGTGAATGCCATATAGTCCTGGTGACTTATTACTGTTTAATTTCTCAATTTGTTCCAAAATCTCCTCTATGACACCTCACTCTGGGATAGTTCCTCAGATTTGTCACCTAAAAAGAACAGTTGGGTGTGGGGATCTCCCTCACAACCTCTGCAATGAAGACTGATGCAAATAATTAATTTAGCTTCTCTGCAAAGGCCTTGTCTGCCTTGAGTGCTCCTTTTGCACCTCAATTGTCCAGTGGACGCACTGACTGTTTGGCAGGCTTCCTGCTTCTGATGTTCTTAAAAAAAAATTGCTGTTAGTTTTCATGTCCTTCGGTAATTGATTTTCAAATTCTTTCTTGGCCTACCTTATTATACTTTTACACCTGACTTGCCAGAGTTTGTGCTCCTCTATATTTTCCTTATTTAGTATGCTCTGACTTCCAATTTGAAAGGATGCCTCTGTCTCTAATCAACGTTTACTTTGCCGTTTAGCCATGGTAGCATTTTTTTGGTCCTTTTGTTTTTTTCCCTCCACAAGGATGTTAAATTTAATTAGATTATGGTTTCTATTAACTGAGTGGCTCAACTATATTCACTTCCTGGACCCGATCCTGTGCTCCACTTAGGACTAAATCAAGCATTGTCTCCTCTTATGGGTTCCAAGAAAAGCTGCTCCAAGAAGCAGTCATTAATGGTGTCAAGAAATTTTATCTCTGCATCCCTTCCAGATATGCAGTCAATATGAGGTTAGTTGAAATCCCCTATTGTTTTCTGCCTTTGTAGCCTCTCTAATCTCCCTGAGCATTTCACAACCACCATCACCATCCTGGTCAGGTGATCGGTAGTATATTCCTATTGCTATACTCTTATTGTTTAAGCATGAAATTTCTATCCATAGAGATACTGTGGTACAATAGACTTTAAAGTCAGAAAGGACCAGCGTGATCATCTAGTCTGATCTCCTACACATCGCAGGCCACAAAACCTCACCCACCCACTCCTGTAAGAGACCCCTAACCACTGGCTGAGTTACTGAAGTCCTTAAATCATGATTTAAAGACTTCTAGTTACAGAGAACCCACCATTTACACTAGTTTAAACCTGACCCATGCCCCCTGCTGCAGAGGAAGGCAACCCCCTGCCCCAGTTTCTGCCAATCTGACCTTGGGGAAAATTCCTTCCCGAACCCATAAAACGGCAATCAGCTAGACCCTGAGCATGTGAGCGAGACCCACCAGCCAGACACCTGGGAAAGAATTCAATTCATTTAGGATTTTGACTTTATTTGACCTTATGCTTTATATAGTGCCACTCTTTCACCAGCATGACCTACTCTGTCATTTTTATATATTTT